AAGATACCACGATCTCGAACTTGCTCTCATACACGACGCGCTCTCCCCCGCTTTAAAAAATGTGAGATGTAGCAGGTCCTGGTGATTTTGCTTTTTTTTAGGGGAGTTGGGAGAGCGCGTGAGGATGAGAGCAAGATCGAGATGTGGTATCTTCCCAAAAAATACTATACTAAGCATCGTTTTCGGGTTTCCTGAGCCTCCCTCCGCCGGGAACGCTCGTTCACACAGGATAGATTACAGCTGTGCTGGATCCGCGCCCGACGTACCTTGTAGCTGCGTATGGTGACTAACAACAGTAGTGAGGGGGGTATTTTTTCGTGCGTGTGTGTTTGTTTTCGCCTGGATGATGGTGTCTCATGTCGGTCCCTGCCACAGCAGCAAGCGCTTTCCAACAATCTGACACGCCTCAGTCGCTCACCAAGACCAAACTCCCCCTTGCGGGGTCCATTTTCATTTCCCACTCGTGTAATCGTTTATGTTTGTCTCCGAACAAATGTTGTCGATTCACAAACCATCTAGAGAGCAAAACACACAACACACACGAAAACCGGCACACAGAAGGAAAAAAGTCTTCCGTCCTTCAAATCGATCAAATACAACTATGCAGCGGAGGGCGGCAGGTCTCGGCACGACGTCGCAAAACGCAGACGTTAGCGTCTGGCACCTAGCACACAAAGTCGCTTCTCGAGCGGAGTCATACAATGACCCTTCTATCCTTGAGAATAAAAACTGGCCAGGGAGACCCGCACGACCGCAACCACGCACGGCAGAGAGACGGGCAAATCACACGACGAAGTCGCCACGCAGCAGGAAGGTCGATCGGCTCGCTGCCATGCAACGATTGTTCGAAACACTCATCCAAGAGACATCCACACCGAAGATGACTTGCCGCCCCCGCCTCTCCCGTCCTTCGAGCGAGGGAGGGGCAAAAAGTACGTGCCATTCCCGGCCGATCAACATGAACAAGCACGCACGAAAGAACGCATGAGCGCGCACATGCACTGTGGAACGTGAGTTGCGCCAAACCCGCCATTGGCAGCAAAACGGTGCACGGAAAATGTCGGGAAAAACAACCCTGCTGAAGGCATCATGTACTATTTAGCTGGAGCAGGCCGACTCGTACCAGACAGCGAATATCAGAAACCATTTACATACGTAGGGCTACAGCAGCAGCAGCACGCACGCACAAAGTACGACACATCACTCTACGTACGGAAACGCGCAAATGAAAAACAACGATGAGGTACCGGGGGGGGGGGGGGGGGGGGCATGCGAGAGCGAGATCGATAGAGACACCCGCTGACAAAACTAAACAAACCGCAATAAAATGGATTGAGCTTTACGGTACTCAATAAAGACCGTGACGACGATGACAACGGAAGACCCCAAAACACTAAAGACATAGAGAAGAACACAACACGCAACACAGAAATACAGCTATTGCACGTGGGGCGAGAGAGATAGATACAGAAAAAAAGGGACCGCTCCCCCGACCACAGCAAGCATCCAACGTTTGTCGCGAGTTCCGCGAACAGAAACGCACCGATGCTGCCGCCCAAAGCCAAACTCCAAACCACCACCAACCACGCGTGCCGTGTCATGCTTGCCTCTCAAGCCGTCCTCGGCGCCCTTCACCTCTTCAAGCTTCTGCTCGACATCGGTTGCGGGGTGGGCTCGAGACCCGCATTGCATTCCCCGGTCGCAGTCAAAAACGTCAGAATGATCTTCTGCCGGTTAGGGTTAAAACTTTCACCAGCGAGAGCAGTCACGACAAACTGTGCAACGCAAGACGTGTATTCAGCCCCCCAAAGCATGGGAAACTTGTAGAGCAGGAACTGGAACGCGCAGGTACTGCTGCCAAAAGCCCCCTGCCCACCGTCTCCGTGGGACACGTGATGTAAACGACTCCCTCCAACACGTCCCTGCTTGGTACTGCTCCCCCCCCCCCTCATTCTCTGCCTTGTGTAACCCGCTCTCGATCTACACGTGCAGCGAAAGACAACGAGATGGCGACGAAGCGTACTGGCGATGCCGCAGCGCTCTAAAAAAAAAAAAAACACACATACACACACACACACCAGAACCGCAAAGCACCCGCTTTCGGGAGGGAGGCGTGATAACAAAAAAATGCTCCAAACACCTGGAAAAGGCTTGCTGCGACACGTCACCTTGACAACGAACGGCAGGCAGGAACCGGTCCACCAAAAAGGCGATCTGCGGCTTGCAAGAGCGGCCCTACTGCTGACGATGCCCTCATGTTTGTTCTTGGTTTCTCTTTTTCGCCGTCGTCGACCTCTCGATGCGTCCCGGCAAATACACACGACACGACCATTGGTACGAGACCCTTTCTCGCCCTCTCGAGCGTTCCCGATCTACCCCCCCCCTCCCCCCACGCATGCTGCCTCCCACCCTGCCCGATGCTTTCGCTGGAAACCCGCGAAATCAATTATTCCTCTCCGGTTCATCAGGGACGCGAGAGCTTACACTTCACCCCACCCACCCCCCTCCCTGTCCGCTCCTCTCTCTCTCTCTCTCAGCGCACCCTTCCAGCGCCCTGCGAGATGAAACGGTCGTAGTTCTGGCGAAGCGTCTTGCGGAGGAAGTCGATGTCGGACTTGGACCTGACGCTGCTCTTCAGCTGCTCCATCTCCTGGTACGCACAAACACACCAACACGCGGATCGCCACGAGAACGAGCCACGAGAGAACAGGGAGGTTTAGGGTTTCAACCGTGGGTGTGGAGAAGGCGGGTGGTCGGGGGAGATCACTGCTATTCATACCCTGTGGTTTCCGCGGCCCGCAGTTGAATCTAGTAAAATGGCGTGTCGAGAAGGACAAGCATCCGAGCGAAGGGGACTAGGCAAAAAAAACGTCAGCACGGAGACAGCGGCATACCGTACCGGACACGCAGGCTGACACGACGTGCCTAGTCTCAGGGAGTCGCTGTGAACAAGTGGGGGGGCGCCCGCGCGCGTAAGGGGGCGAGGTGTAGCACCCTTGTACCTCATCGCTGGAGCTGAAAACGTGCCCCCTCCTTCTGCGTCAACGCTTCCGATCCACATCTAGACTAGACCTACGTACTTCCGTGTACCTTGAACTCTCGTTTAGCACCCTGGCTGACTACACGGCCTCTTCAATCGCAACAAGCGTCCCTTTCCACACGGGGGACAAAGGAAGAGGTATAGGCACGACCGCACGGCAGGTGCGACGCCCCAACATGGCCGGGGGCACTTTACTTCCGCCATAGACCAAACGCAAGACTAGCCATCGATAGTCTAACCGTTTGATATCGGCTTCTGAACGCCTCACTCATGACACGCCGACTCCCGTCTCTGCTCGCTCTCTCTCTCTGGCCTCTTTTCGCGTGGCCTCACCGTGATGAGATCGTGGTCGACCCCGTCCTCCTCGTCGCTCTCGTTGTCCTCGTTGTTGAGCTGGAACGCCAGGCCCCCGGCGCCGAAAACGCCATGGCTAGTGGTCGCCTGTTGGCGGCGGCGGCGGCGGCGGCGGGCGAAACCACCGAGGTGGATAGACAGCGGTAGATCCGATCAGGTTTTCGCTTTATTGGAGATGTTCGTGTTATGCATGGGCTGAGCTTGGGGATCCCGGCGACTTGAGATGCCACACACAGGGTGGAGACGAAACTTGTGCACGAGTGAGCACGCAGTCGCGTGCACTTTCTTTCTGGTCTCTCTCGCCCATCTCATAGTTTTGTGTTGTTCGTGCTATGCCAACGAACGAGACCTTTCGTCTCAAGCACAGCCCCCCCCCTCCAATCCTCTGCAACTGATCGGTCGGACGCGTCTGCAAACAACCAAGAGATAGACACGCCCCCCTGCCCGACCGTTCTGAAAATCAGACTGCCTGAAGCAAACTTGGACGCGTGTATCGCGCGAAGTATCTTTCGCCCAAAATTATGCTCCGAGGGAGAGCTCAGACCGAAGTCGAGCTTAACGTCTTTTGTGGTTTGCTTGACGGTGGCGTGGTGTGGGTGTGGGTGTGGGTTGTTAAGCTGGCTGTGTGCCTTCTATCTTCTTAGATACTGCTTGCCGTCTACTCTCCGTGTCAAGACGGTCGTTGAGCCGTTCTCGCCCTTCTGTCCCTCACTCTCACTCTCACTCTCACTTTCTCCCAACCCCACCCCTTACACCTTGCCCTTCAGTCCTACGCGCTCTGTCCGCCAAGTGTATGTGTACCAAGGCAGAGATACATGCAGAGAGATAGAGAGAGAAACGTAAGAGATGGACAGAGAGAGACTAGAGGGAGGAGGAAAGACGTGGACCATCGGGACCATACGCAACACGCCAAACACCCGCGAGACTCTTCCCACCGACCTTCGTGGCGAAGCCAGAGGTCACCCCGGCCGTGAGGCAAGCTCTCGCGTCCTCTTTCCCGCCGGAAGAAGCAGCACCAAGACCAACACCAACCTCGCCGCCGCTTCCGCACTCGCACGCGGCATGCGCTGCCGACTCCGCCGGGTTGGTCTTGCGGTGTTGCTTCGTGTTGTGTCCGTGGACGGGCTCCCTCGCACCAACCTTGCCCGTCGCAGCAGCACCAGGAGTGCCGACCGCGGCACTGCCATTGATCGTGCGGCGGCCCAGCACGCCAGACCTGCCGCCGCTATGCCGAGCAGTGCTTGTCGCCACCGCTGCTGCCGCCGGCGCCGGCGCCGCCTTTGGTTTTCCTTGCGCACCACCCTCACCACTACCGCCAGAAGCCGCGGAAGCCGAGAGCTGGATCTGGGCCTTCCCCGCCCGCTTCCTCTCCTTGCGCTTCTGGCGCCGCTTCTGGCGCCTTCCCTCCGCCGCGCACTTCTCCTCGTGGTCTATCGCCATCAGGTCGTCGCCGTGCGGGGCCGCGCCGTGGGCGGCAAGCATCGTGCGGACCGCGTCCACTACCAGACAAAAGAGGTACTGGAGGCGGAGAAGTGGTCCAAGCACGGAGGAGGAGGAGGAGGAGGGGGACGAGGAGGAGGAGGATGGGCACGGAGGGTTAGAGAGGGACGGGACGGGGGACGGGGGACGGGGGGGCGAGAGGGTTTACGTGGCTACTTCAGGAGTAGCGGGCCGAATTTTTGCTACACAAGAATCTCACGCGTAAAAAGCGAGGCAGTGAGACGACGTGCAGCAGTCGCGACGTCAAGACTGGTAGCCGCTAGCAGGGGGGCGGCACAACAGCAACACCTTGCGGCGGAACAACCCCCACAACGACACGGCGGTTCACAACGGCTTTCCGAAAACCCAACACCCACGGCGGCGGAGGCGGCGGCGGTACCAGCAAGAAACGCGCCGATCACAGCACACCCACAACAACGACCACCACCAACAAAAAACGCCAACAACAACAAGGTCCAATCGCCGCACCAAGACACCCCTAGGTGACCTTCCTTCTTCCGGTGGAACCCCCGCTGGTCCTCCAAACATCTACATCGAGGGGTGCGTAAGTAGAATGGCGCCAGAATAATCGGGACGAAAACACAGACACACAGACACATACCTGCTCAGCCTGAACCTGCGCCGTCTGCGTGTGCCAGACCGACCGCAACTGGCTCAAGACTAGCCCTCCGAGAATGGATCGGACCTCTCTCTGCCCTTGGTCCAAGGTGGACGCGTGTCGCTGCGAGCCGGAAGAGTCGAGTTCCTGCGAGCTGGCACTGAACTCCTGCGCTCGGCGAGGGGAAACAAACAAAGAGCACGGAACGGCGGGGGTCGAACTGTCTCCGCTGCGGAAGAACGCAGTTTGTCGCATATGTAGAGATTTTCGAACAGGTGGGTCTCTCCTCTGTCTCTTTCTCTCTTTGTTTAAAAAAATTGGCGAACGCAAATGAAAACTATGTCTGCCTGGTCTCGTACACGACTGTTAACCACAAGCGGTGCGATCGTATCCGCACAGCAGTAGAAATCTACTCTGAAATCTATATAGGGTCCTGGAAAGCACAAATCGAAGGTACTTCGAGACAAGGCTACCCCCCCCCCCCCCCCCCCCGGGGTTGGCCACGGGGGTGGGGTTTTTTCCCTTGGGAACCACGTTTTTAAAAAAACCCATTTTCTTTTTGGAATCGGGGAACCGGGTACCGGTTTTTTTTTTTTTCCCCTGGTTTTTTTTTTGGGGGGAACCTAATGGGGGGGGAGGAAAATATGGTGGGGGGGGGGGGGAAAACCCCCTCCCCGCCCGGGGGGGAACCCCCCCCGTTTTGGTTAAATTGGGAAGGATCCCCTTGGGGGGTTCCCAGGGGTTTTAAATGTTTTTGGGGGGGGAAGGCCCCGAAAAAAAATTTAGTTCTACCCCGCTGGCTTCCCGACCCCAGGGAAAAACCCCAAAAGGCGAAAACCCCTTTGAGGGGGGGGCTCCCCCTTTTTGGGGCTCCCCCAAAAACTCCCGGGGCTTTCCCGTAAAGACCGGGCCGGGGGGAAACCCGGCT